CCGGCCGCGGGGCTCTCCCCGGCCCCGCATGCCCTCAGCGGCCCGGCCCCGGGGCTCCCCCCGCGCCGAGGCCTGGCCGCGGGTGTCAGCCCTTACCGGCTGCTTCAGCCCGGGGATAGCCTGGGCTGCGGGCGGCAGCGCGGGGTCCCGTAGGCGTTGTAGGAGCGGCCCGAGGGCCGGTGATTAAATCTGCCTTAGACCTGAACGAGAGGGGTCGGGGAGGAGGCATTTCGTTGCTGGTGTCTCTCAGCCTACCCGTGCCTTAAGATCACATTTAAAAACCGCCAAAAAAGCTGGGTGAGTGAGAGGTCGGTGGGCTTTGCGGGGAGACAGCCCTGCTCCTGCTGCCCTGGGACAGCCGTGGCCAGCTTGTCAGGGCTTTCTCTGTCTCCTGGCCTGGTGGCCGTGGAAAGACCTCGGGGTGCTCAGGCGTGGGTGCGCCAAGGGGTCGGCACCCCTTGGCATGGCAGGTGGCAACGGGGCAGCCTGCGCGGTGAGACCGGGGCCGCGTCCCGCTGTTCGCCTTTGCTTTTCTGCCTAAAATTCTGAAACGAATCAGCCCTGGGGTACTGTCTTCATTTGTTGGTCGCACTAATGCGTTTTAGGCGGTGTCCGCTGTTGGTTTTGCTGTGCCCGAGATCGTTGCATTGATGATCTGTGGGATCTCGGGGAAAAGCTGGGGGTTTCCAACAGAAATGGGCAGATCTGGAAGACTTTAGGCACTTTATGAGCAGGGACTAAGCAGATTGGTAGGATATTTCTGTTAAAATTACCAGCAGTGAAACAGTTGGTCGTGGTGACATTTAGAATGTCAACTTTAGATTTCAAACAGTCTATTGAAATGAATAAGGTAGGATGCAGGACCGGTAGTGGATTTGGGAATACAAGCCCTGCCGCCTGAGCTCCCAGGCTGGCTCCCTGGTTACTACCGTATGCTGTATTAACATATGAATAGTTGATCGACTGGTTTTCAACTGTTGAGATATTTTGTACAGCCTAAAAGTTGTATCAGTCTTCTCTGCCGCATCTGCAGCAGCCAAAGGACAGATGGTGTGCTTAGATATTATTTAACCTGAGCTATAGCCAAAGTAGTTAGCTGCATAAAACTAAGTTAATTTAAAAGGTTGGGGAAGGTGTGAGAGGAAAAACTCTCAAACTAGAGAAGATAAGAATGAGAAGTGTTTCTCCTCCATAAGAATCTTTCCCAGATGACTGTGGCTATCTTTAAAAAAAATCTTAGTGGAGAATAAATGTTTTAATTAGGAGTCAGTTGGTAATTCTTCTCCGAAATGTCCAATGGATGGACAAACCTTTAAGAAGGACAGCCATGCAGAGGCACTGGAAGTCTCTTGTAACAATACTCTCAAACAACTGTGACATCTCTTGAGGAAAAAGAATAATAAAAAAATCAACTTTAAAAAGTTATCTGTTCAATATTACTGGTGGTAGCTTTGGTAATTAAAAAAGAAATACTGAAAAAACCCATTCAAGTACTTATTTTCTTCATTTTTCTCTGGTTTCTTTAGAATATCGAGCTCAATTTCAGTTTGTAGAGTATTCAGTTATTGCTAAACTTCACTTCTAAAGTTTTGGTATTGTGATACAGCTAGAATGTTATCACTCTAGCTAAATTTATATTATTTTAAATAATTTCTGAGCATATGCATGAATGTACAATCCCCATGTGTTCAATCTTTATTTTACCTTTCAGAGCCCCTATATTTATATGATTTGTTTCCTTTTTCCTGGGAATATGTCAATGGGCCTTAGGGGAAAAGAATGAAAATCCTTTTTCAAACCTAAAGCTAAATCATGAAGCAGATTTCATCTCGCCTGATAATGTTTCTTTAACAACCTGAGTTAGGCAAGGAGGTAGGAGAGGCAGTGAAGGGAAGACTATTTTGGCCAGTATCCTTGGACAAACTGCAGTCTTTCTAAGAGAAAGAAAGCAAAATGTAGGGGACAGGTTTTATTTCAAACTTTTTTAAAGACCAAGCTAATTAATGGTGTCTTTTAGCTGATTTTCCCCAAAGTTTCCTATGTGTGTCAGGAGCAACTCTTCTAGATGGGATGTCTGTCCTTTGATGTCTATGTGGTCTTCCAGAAAGAAAACACAAAAAAATACCTGAATCTTAGCTATTTCAATAGAAGTGAAAAATAAGCTTGGATGTCTTGTTTTTCAGTCCATTTGGGTCTAATAGTCATTAAACTTTGTCTGGTGAAAGATGACATTTTTCAGTTGTACTGTAAGTCTTTGGTCTTTCCCACGCCTGGTGTCCTGCACCCTTACAGTCTCGGGGTGTCACATCTGCCATTTTTCTACCCTTCCTTTGATATATCCTTCTGCCTCCCTTCCCCTTCTGCTGGAGGCTTGCAATCCTTTGGAAAAACACATATTATTTGAGGGTCTTCTGAGATCCTGCTTCCTCACAGACTCTACGTCTCTGAGGTTATCCCTCTGGTCAAAGAGGGAGAGATGGAAGTCCCTCTGTGGCCTCCAAATCTTGCCGTGGGCTGGAGAGTCTGTGGGGCAGCAAGGGATGATGCTTGGTGCCTTCAGCACCTGCAAGTACTCGCTGCTTTCAGCAGCATGATGCTAACAAAGTCCCTTACAAGCACCCTTACGCCTGTTTGAGGGGAAGTCTTGGGGTGTGCTTTGGAGCTTTGCAGTAAAAAGGAAAATTCAGTTGCAGGAAAAAAACATTATTCCTTGCAAACGCAGCAGCTGTGGTGCTTTTCCCATCAGAGGAGCGAGCTGTGTACCAAGGAAACTTCACCTTGCTGCCTCGAGGGGCTGACAACTCATCCGTGAGCAGACATTTCCTACTGCTGTACTTGGCGGGGCTGTGGGACTGGGAGTAGGTTAATCACTCGCCTTTGCTGCTTCCCCATGGCCTCCTCCATGCCGTAGCAAATTGCCAGGTGCTGAGATTTACTAGATCAATTGTATTGTATTAAAAAGAGAGAAAACAAAACCACCAGGGACCTTCACGTTGCGCATCCTCTCTACGTGTTATAAATACACTGTGTTCCTCTTTCCGATTGACTGGGTCCCTCGCAGAGGAGCCAGCCTCGGGGGCCTGCAGAGTTTTCACATCTCTAACAAAGCACTGAAGGACGGGAAAGGACAACGGGCGCCGGATGCCGACTGTTCTGCGCCAGCGCCCTCCTTACTGCAATTATATTTCTGTTAGAAACCTCCACCTTATTTAAAGAGACATTGTCAACTGCCTCAAAGCTCCTTTTTGTAAAAGTCTTACAAAGCCATTGAGATGTTTGCTTAATGACGTGAAGAAAAATATTGTAGCTAAAGAACACTGATAAAGCAGAGATGCTTCTCCTTTTTTAGGATCTTGTATCTAATGAATTAAAACTACTACATAAACTTCAATCCGTTAATCACTGTAGTCCCTTTTGACAAAATCATCACCTCTGTTTCCAGATGAGTGGAGTGAGACAAGAAGAGATGAGTGATCTGACCAAGGTTGTTCAGTGAGGTTGTTGCAGAGCACAGCTCGGTGTTCCTAGATGGTAAAGGAGGCTCTGAAATTATCTGGCTTTATAGCACAAACCACTATTTGATTGTTGGTAATAGAAGGAAATTCCCCAGATGCATCACGGTCTGCTATGATGTAGTCCCTTCTCTAGGAAGTGCTCAAGCGCATCCAGTATCAGATCCAAGATCTGAGGCTGGATGGATTCCTGATCTTGGCCGGTCTGATGGGTTGTGCTTATCGCTGCAGTATCATGAAAGACTGCTCCAGGACTGGGAAAAGGGCTTGGCTGAGAAACTCACCACCCCTCACTTCAAAGACTGCAGATTCTTGGGAACCTCCTAAATACTCCTCTGATTTGAAATCCCTGTTGGCTGTCACTAATGTCATTATCTAGTTTCAGTGCAGAGGTGAATGGATGGACTTAGTGTTTTAAAACTTGACTGGGCCTCCTCCCCAGTGGCTTTGGTCAGCTCAAATTTTCCTTGCATTTAATTGCAATTCTCAAGTGTTATTTCTGTGTTTATTGGCAGGTGTACCGTTCTTCCAGGATCACTGCCATGGTACTTAAGGTCTTCTTTCCATCTTGCTGCTCTTCAGCAGAAAGTGGCATTCTGATCGGGCGCTGGATCTCCGAACAGAACTCTGCTGTTATCCTTGCTGTGGTCCATTTCCCTTTTATTCCTGTCCAGGTGAAGCAGTATCTCAGTGAAGTCCAACAGGTGACTAAAGTCAGTGTTTCGGTGCTTGGCTCATGGAGCAACAGCAAACAAGAGAAAGAAGAGAGTCTGAGTGAGTTCTTGGAAGACCTTGGGACAATATTTTCCCATGAGCCATGGATTCAGATAAGCAAAGAGGGAGACAGCAAATTCTGGAGCTGTTCTACCCTTCAGAAACACTCTAACAACCCTAAGGAGGAAGAAATCATCTTGGTATACTATGACCAGCGCAAAGTCATGCTTTCCCATCTACATCCCCCTTTGGCCACAGCTCCCTCCACTGACCACAAGGCAGATGATGCTTCAAAGCTCTCTGCCGTCTTTGACACAGTTGCAAAGAGTAAGATACTGTTCATGACGGATCGATACCACGATGGGCCCATCAAGCTGACCCACTGGCAGTCAGATGGTGTTGAAGCTAGTATCATTGTGGAGTTGATGAAGCAGGCCTCTGTGCCTGCGTGCATGCTGCTGACATTCCTGCTTTCACTTATCTCTGGGATCTGCAGGAGCAGGTAAGTAATGCGACATCGGCCAGCTTACGTTTTGCATGGAAATGTAATTCATGTTTAGGCATTTGCAGGGTTCCTGCTCAACCCCAGTGAGAAATACAGTTGATACAAAATCATTCTGTTGGAAACAGGCTGCCGCAGAGCTGCTGTTAAACTTTTGGGAGCTCCGTTGAAAACGCGAGGCTAAAGGCTTAATGCTCCTTAATGGCTTGATAGCTGGGACTCACTACTCCCAGTTTGCTATGAGTCCCTCCACGGCTGTGAAACATCAGCAAATACTGTGTCTAAATCCATAGTCTCTCTAACAGATGGTGGTGCTGCAACCTTGGCACCTTATAGTAGGTTACAGGGAATGCTGGTCAATATGAATCCTTGGTGAAATCCTGTTGTCGCAACCATGAAACTGAATAGGATGCTTCAAATGTAATGTGTGGCAAGTGCTTGCACTAAAGAGCGATTCTGAGCAGATTGGAAGGGGAGAAGCTTCTGCATATAAAGCTTAATAACACATCTGGTCAGCCTGCCTAGAGAGGTTGTGCCAGAGAAGGGAGTGGAGTTCAGGTTCCAAGCTGCAAGGGGACACTTTAATTGATGAAATTTGGATAACAGCTACTAATGTATTCATGGATAAATCTTCTCAAGTACAGCCTAAGGGTATGGGGAATGGAGTTTTAACAGGTTTCCAGTTGTAAGAAACTGTCATAAAAAAATTACAGTGGAACTCTTCATATGCAAAGATTTTCTAAACAGTTGGGTTATGCATTTTGGTACACAAAGGGAAAACTGTCTGGTTTTGGACTGCTCTGTTGGAAGGGATTTAGAGTCAAACACAAACCTGATATAATCAGGAATGACTGGTTCCTGGGACTGCTCTGTAGACACTGACTATGCATTAATGTTGTAAATGGTAACTAAGTCAGAACTTTGTGGTTGGGTAGAAGATTGGGTGTCAGCTCTGAAGGTCCTTTTTCTGGCTGTCCATGGACTGTATGTGACTACCAACAAACAGGATGATCCTTTTCTGCATAGGCACTTGGTCTCAAGGTCAGACTTGCCCATCTTGATCAGTGCTAGGACTCAGACCAGGCTTAGAGTCAGATTAAGCCCAAGTCTCACTTGTTTCCAGAAGGCCACAGTCTAAGCATAACTTGGGAGCTTGAGCTCAGTCTGGCAGGTTGGGCACAGATAGCTGCTACCCAGCGTATCCGGAGCTATTCTGATTTCAGCTTTTCCTAGGCCCAGTACAGAGCCAGAGCAGCAGCCAGACTAGCAGCCAGCTGTACATACCAGCAGGCAGAATGCAAGGCTTGCTGTGCGTAAACCTAGGTTGAACTTGTTCTTAACCTTGGGAGGTAGCTACAGGTTTCTTTCTGCTTTGTTTTGTTCACCCATAGTATCAGCATTATATTTACTTATCTTACGGATGTTTTAAAACATCAGTCTTGGAGAACAGAGATTAGTACCTGGCTTTATAACAAACCTCCTGCTTGACCTTCTAAGTCATTTAATGTAATTTGGTTCAATTTAGCACGTGATGTGTGGTACAGCCTCCTTTGTGCCATAATACACAAGGCAGAGAGGGTTCAAGATGTCATGTGCAGGTGTCCTTCCAGTCCCCTCCTCCGTGTGCTGGGACAGGACATCCCATAAAATAAGATCTACCAGGTTTTTGCTCCTCCTGGTCACAGGGCTTCTTTCTTTCCCAGGTTTTTGTGGTGTTAAGGGGTAACATCATTGACAAGCTAAAGAAAGGTCAGTGATGTCATCTCAGGCTGCGAAGGCTTGGGGCTTTTTTGGATATGCCACTGTTGTGCATCTGCACCAGGGAAGCAGGGCAGCACCATTAGAAATCTCCAAGTGAGCACTGACATCCATCCAAGCTCACCGAGTGCTCTCAAGTCCTGTACTTCTCAAATTAAGGCATTTCTTCAGCACCACCTTGTGCTATGGGGTGGCTATTGCAATTCTCTCTTCGGAGGGACATGTGTGCATGATTTCCATTACCACCGAAGGTCTCTAGTGTGCTGTTGGGGACATCAGGATGATTTGGTATTGAGGCAATAAACTCTGTATGCTCTTTTTAAAAAGACATCCGTTTACAAACACCATGACCTCTGATTCCTCATCCAGAAGGGAGGCACTGTTCCTGTAGTTTCGAGCAAGAAGACAGCTGGGGGTTCTCGTTCATGGAGCTTTAATATTTGCTTGTGATTCAGATTCAGAAAGATTGCTTTTCATCTGATATCTGAAAAATCCACTCTCACTCTTGGAAAAAAATTTGAATTGGAAAATCGAGATTTACTTGTGCAGGCTATATTAATTTATTGCTAAAATTCCTTATATTTGGAAATACCTCAAAGATCTCCTGCTGCTTAAATAATGCAATGACACAACATCACTGGTTTTTTGTTTGTTTGTTTTATTTGGTTGGTTTTCCATTGCACTTCTGATAATCATTCTGTATGCTGTGTGGTAAACAAGTGGGAGCATTTATGGCAACGCATAGTCGATATGCATAGGGGTAGGAGACCACGCAAGAAATATTTTTGGCTTTCTTCCTCAGTACTCCTGGAGATGAGAGTTACAGTAGCACATCTTGCAACTATTGAGCTTTTTGCAGTATGTTTGTATTTTTATTTAAATAAGTATGTAAATACTTATTTATGTAAATAAGTATATACTTTCCAAAGAAAGTATGTAAGTGGAATAGAGATTGTTCTCTTGAGGTTAAGTGAAAAGAAAAGAGAGTCAGTCGTAGTACAGACAAGCACAGACCTCTGACATGTCTTTTGGACCCACCCAGTTCAATCAAGGAGATGCATTTACCTGTTGCAGGCTGCAGTGGGTGCACGCTGGGTGCTCCTGGGGATGAGACTGCTTTGGAAATAATTCTCGCTTGTGCAAGACATTCCTCAGGCAGAAGACAACAGCAGCCTGTCCTTTCCTTTGACCAGGGGTGGTCTGGTCAGTGGGTGACCCACAAGCTAGCTGCGTCTAGCTTGGGGCGTTGTGGAGCGGCAATGGATGGTAGGAGACACATGTTGCTGGGAGAGGATGGGGAGGCTGTCAGCCCAGTGAGTGTTCAGCACAGGGCCCCAGAGCCATTGCTTTCTACTTGAACTGAGATGGTCTGGCAGCTGTTGGTTTGACCAGTAATTTTTCACCTTCAGTCATCTCTACATATGGTAGCTCTACCACACAGGCAGAGCATTTCTCCTTCCCTCTTCTTTGCATTTCAAGTGCAATGTTCTGCTCTAGCAAAGGTTTGCCACGCCAGAATTTGTAACCAGTGGGCTAGGATATAATTGGAAGAGAAAACTCATCTGCGCTTGTGCCTCGGTGAATCTGTGAACCCAGGTCTTTGAGATAAGTGGCCAGGGCAGTCCCCCCCATGTCTCCCTCCCCTGCATGACACTTGTTCCTCCGCCACTTTAGATATTACCGCCTGACAAGTCAGCTGAAGAACAGTGCATTCATTTATCTCTAAGGTGGGAGGCTGTAACGAAGAGCTGAGTAACTTGGAGGCCTCAAATTAAGAAGAGTGATTCACAGTACACTGCATGTATTTCAAACCCAATGTGTCTGAAATTTGAATGGGGAGGGGGAAGGGGAGACTTCAGCACTCTGTTTTTTAAGCTGACAAACCTTGCATGAAGGATGGTTGAAAGGGCTCAGGACGATGTGGGGAGGAAGGGGATAGCAACCACAGTGAACCAAGCAGGATTTTGAATGAGCCAGACCTTTGTGATTTGTGTAAAATGTATAAATAGCAGCCAGAGCCCCAGTCTGCCCATCCTGCGTTTTATCCTGGCCAGTTCTGAAGGCACTCTGCTGCTGGCTGACAGGCTGAAGTCCTCCAGATGAAATCTGGGGAAGGCATGCACACATTGCAGGGACGTCTGCAGGCCACGCTCACTAATGATCCAAACAGCTGTACAATTTCAAAAGCTAAGCAGGATACCGGGAATAATTTTAGCGTTTGGAATGAATGTAAACTGAAGGAATATGCCAAAGCAGTTAAGAAAGAGTAGGTGAAGGAAGTGACTAAAAGTGAACATAGATTCCCGCACCTTTAATGAGAAACAGTAAGACACTGTGAAAATAGTGAAACAACCATTGTGTACAGGAAAGAAGTGATCCAAATTATGTCCACATCAGAATTTATTCCCTACAACAAACATGGTGCTTTGTGTTGCTGTACCGCTACTGTGCATTCTTTGACCAGCCTGCATCCAGTGGTATCATTTTAGACTACCCAAATCACCATTGTTCCTTTCTTGATAGGTTGTGTGGTAATACAAGTAACTCCCCAAAATAATTGAGCATCATTTAGTACTTTTCTTCTGAGTCATAAAGAAAGAACCGTGTGAATATTTCCTCCCCTACAAGCCTAATGTGGATGTTAACTTTGAAACCTAATTAAATGCTAAATGTTGTGTTATCAACATAATGCTGGTCACCCTTGGCAAGGTAGTGGAGAGAAGATAGACATGAAGATCGTGAGAAAGGAATTTGGAAGTAATTAAAAAAAGAAGAAAAGGATCAAGTGGAAGAAAAAGAAAAGAGGAGAAAAGGGATAGAAACTGCAGGGAGAACACAGCTGTTTGTAACACCAAGCTCACACTAGACAGAGACTTGCGATTAGAGATACTGGGATTTGTGAAGCAGTTGCACCATGTTGTGTTGTTGCGCTGTACACACAACTGCCTTGACTCCAGTCTTCTGGAGACTGAGAGCAGTGTACAAGCCCAGTGATGTATCCCAAAGCACAGGATGGAATTGGGGTTGTCTTCTGGCTTCCTTGGAAGAGCGAGGCACGTGGTTTTACAGAATGGAAATGAGCGGTTGGGTTGTCTGCTTTACACGTCTTGGTCTGGAAAAGCTGCCTTAATTCTGTTACTCTTTAAGAGAGTAGTTAACATCTAATATTCTTTAATCATAATATGTTGACACAATCCCTGGTTGCACAACCTTAACTTTACACTGAATGTTTTGCGTGGAGTTTGTATTCTGGACAGCCTGCTATATGGCAAAAACAAGGGGACGTTCCCATGGTGTTTCTGCAGGGTGCTGAAGTTTTGGCCTTTGTCTTTCTTATGGAGCAAGCTCTCAACTTGTGAGCAGCTGGGACATCGCCTGCAGCACCTCCAGGTCATCAGCAGCAACAAGAAGGCTCAAAACCAGACTCAACTAATGAGGTATAGAGTACACATAAAGTCATGCATGTCTAGCCCTGTCTCTGGGGGACCCAAACCATGGATCCTGTGCCGCACAGCACTACGGGGTCCTCACTGCACCATGTCACATTGCCTTCCTTGCTCTACTCCCTGCTAGTTTACAGATCTTTACTCTGCACTCTGTTTATATTAATTATACCTTTTGTCATATATATGCCTTTTTCCCTAGCCTGGGAAAGGCGACCGGGATGTTGCCCACAGAAAGATTGTACTGCACCCATATGTGTAGTGCTTTGCTATCACTACTCCCACAAGCTCATTGCTTTCACATATGCCGCTGTTAACCAAAAACTGCAAGCAGTATTCAGTGGCACTTTCCATAAGAGCAGAAAGGTTTAAATGCTCCCCTCTTTCACCCACTCTTTTGGGGAATCTTTCTTGCAGTAACTGCAGACCAGAGACTCCAACAGCCCTAACAAAGTCACTGTAACAGAAAAAGTAAACACGCAGCACAGGGAGTGGAACAGGGAGAGGCAGAGATCCGAGACAGATATTGAATGCCCTACGGCCATTACACAGTGAGTCTTGTTCTGTGTGGTTCTCTGATCCTGCAGTAATAGACTCCCAGGGAACACTTAAAATAGATTAGCAGATTTGAAGGCCAAAAGTAACTGTGATTGTTTAATCTGATTTCCCGAATAACTCACGTCATGGAATTTCATTCAGAAACTCTAGCAGCGAAGGGGCAGTTCAGCAGCCCCTTTGGGTACGTTTATGTACCCAGAAACACTATTTATTACATTGGCTAGTGGTTCAACTAAAGTATACCTCTTGGAAAGCCATCTGATCTCGACGTGGATACTCGAGGTGCTGGTGCCCTTAGTATTGGTAAATCCCCCCC